ACCATCTCCGAAAACACCCATCCCAATTACCCCAGTCACTGAATCAATCCACCTCATAAAGGGCCTTTACCTTCTGCGTTGTCCCTCCACCCTACATAGTTTTGAAAAATTCCAGGATGAGTAATTTTGGGAGTAACATCATATTATTTTTTTAGAAATGCCACTTTACATAATAGTCCCTCTAGTATACCACTCTTGTAAATAGAAGTGAAACAAAATCCACAGTCGTTGGGTCAAGTGCAACAACCCTGTTGTACAAAGTAGAACTACCCTATAGGCTTTCAATCTAGGAGCTCTCATGGCCTACTGGTAAAGAGTTGTGCTGCCAACTCAAAGACAGGCAGTTCGAGCCCACTTCTGCCAAAGAAAGATGGGCAATCTCCTCCCATGAGATTTACAGCTTCTGAAAGCTGGCTGGAGGATTTATTATGAATCAATTTTGACTTGACAGAACACAATAACAACAAGATAAACTTTCAAAGACTGCAAATTTTAAGTGGATTGCCACATTTTTCTTTCATAAGAACATCTAGCTCTGCAGATAACTATAAAATGGCAATAAAACAAAAAATTAATGAAAAATCATTCATTATTCCCTAAGACTTACTAGATATTAATAATGTGGAATATCTCATAACATTTAACAAAATAAAATATATAAATAAATAAAATATATAAGATCAACCTGACCCTGATCTTAGAATGACAAGGCAACTGTCTTCTTCTTGATACCTTGTGAGTTTTCTGTTTATACGAGTGAAGTGGGACTGTCATTTTCAGTTGATTTATTTGAAGTTTCCTAAGGAAATATAGATAACAATATAATACTCAACCATCAAAAATAACTAATAAAAGAAAAGGAAATAATTGATGAGATGTTATTGTTGTTATTGTGTACCGCAGAGTCAGAACCAACCCATAGCTGACTGTCTGGCAGGTTTTCAGAGGCAGTTAATCATATGGGAGGCTGCCCATCCTTCTCCCGGAGAGCAGCTGGTGGCCTCGAATCACATGCCTTTAGGATTGCAGCTCATGAGATGAGTAACTGTAAAATTGATTTAATATGAGATGAACTTCTTTTTAAATCACTCCATTGGAAAAGTGTATTTTTAAAAGATTCTGTCATACTTAATGATGCTCATCCTAGAGATTTAAGAGAAAACAAACAAAGCTTTCCCCTTTCGATAATGTCATTCCCTTGGCATAGATTCATATTAAATATTTCTCTTTATACACTCTCTCTCTTTCTCTCATACACACATGTATGTATTTTCCAACTTAAGGTCTCAATGGGGTTTTGGTACAAAACAAGAAGGCAGGTAGGTGTACTATAAAATTGGAGTTTTGGCACAAGGCAGTGAAGAGGCTTATATGTAGGGAGTAATGATAATTGTCAAAGCTATCTGCCTAGTTCATTGTTGTTTACTTAAGATGCTCCCTCATTTAAAATTATCTAGAAAGGGAATGATAGTAGAGAACTTAATTTAACTTAAATAGAGATTAAATCATTGGGAAAAGGAATTGAACCCTGAGTTTCAATATTGATTCATTTATCCTCTGCTTGATTCTGGAGAAGTGATTTGCTACCTTCTCTCAGTAAAAATATGCTAGTGGCACAGTGGTGAAAGCATTCGGTTACTAACCAAAAGATTGGTGGTTTAAATGCACCAGATCCTCTGTGGGAGAAAGATGTGGCAGTGTTTCCGTAATGATTTCAGTCTCAAACCCTATAGGGAAGTTCGATTCTGTAAGGTCACATGAAATTAGAACTGACTCAGTGGGAGTAGGTTTGGTTTCGGGTTTGCTATTCAGTTTCCAGTTTGTAAAATGGAAGGACTAGTTAAAAACCTCCCAAGATTATACAAAGCATATTACCTCTGAACTACTTCTGCAAGCTTGGAAACATTTTTTTGTCCTAGAACCCTTGATGAAAATAAGTGAGTTTGATTTAATCTCCATTGGCTTTTACATGTCCACATTTAATATAATCTCATATGTATTTTCTTTTAAAATATAAGACAAAAGGTTGTATGTACTTTTCAACAAATAACTCCAGTATTTAATTCCATTTCATTTACTTAGTAAGCATCAATGTGCTTAATCGATAGTAATCTGATCAATGTCATCAAGTGGGTTCTCTCTTTGAGAGCCCTTGGCTAAATAACAAACAAATGAAGTGCAACATTCAGGTCACATGATCCTCAGGAAAGTGCCAAGCACTCTCATGGAATTGGGGTGTAATTACTTTTAGTCATGAGTCTTTGATACTGAGTCTTGTTAACACTATTCATTTGAATTTATGACATGAATATATAATGTTTATATATGTGTGTGCATGTATTTGAAAGTCAATAAAAATCAGAGATAAATTTTAGTGAATTTGAAATAGCTCTTCAAAATTATCCTTATATCTGGCTGTGTCACTAGATAGAACTAGGTTCAAATTTCAGGTCTGCCATCATGAATTGCACATACCTTTTATACTCTTATAGTTTCCAACTTCTAAAATGATGAAGTTGTTGTTGTTAACTGTTGTCAATTCATAGTCACTCTATGTACAAAAGAACAAAACCCTGCCCAATCCTGCTGCATCTTCAGTCTGCTCTACTCAAGCCCGTTGTTATTAGCACTATGTCACGTATCTCATTGAGTGTCTTTTTGCCCTTCACTGACCCTCTACTTTTCCAAGGATTAACCTCTACTGACAACACGCCCAAAATATGTGAGGTGAATTCTCACCATCCTTGTTTTGAGGACCAGCCTGGTTGCAATTTTTGACAATCCATGGTGGTTGTTGTTTGTTGTTGTTTGTAAGTGCTGTCAAGTCACAGTGACTCATAGAGACCCTATGAACGAAACCTGAACACTTGTATAACTTTCATCTTTTCTCCAGGTTCATAGGGCTTCCGGAGACAAGTTATACGGAAGTGAATGCCACTCAATATTGTTTGCCAATACCACAATTCAAAGGCATCAATCTTCTTCAGTCTTTCTTATTCATTGTCTAACTTTTACATGATATGGAAAAATTTAAAATACTGTGCCTTGGGGAGGCACATCTTAGTCTTTAAAGGGATGCCCTTGCTCTCTAGTGTTTTATAGAGGTCCTTGATATTAGATATTTTCCAAATGTAATTTATTGTTTTATTTCTTGATTGTTACTTCCATGAGTGTTGAATATGGATTCAAGTAAAACGAAATAATTGACAACTTCAGTGTTTTCTCTATTTATCATGGGTTTGTCTATGGGCACAATTTGCAGTAATTTTGTTTACTTGATGTTAAAGTATAATTTATACCTAAGAGCATAGTCTTTGATCTTCAGTAAGTACTCTGAGTCCTCTTCACTTTCAGTAAGCAAACGAATAATAATTTTTAATTCATAATTTGTGATTAAATATGTAAATATAGTGCTAAGGTTGCATAGTGGAGTGCATTTGGGGCAGGGGGATTGCATACCAATGAAGAAGTTTATCTTTTGCTTTTCAAAGAGAGGAGCAAATTGGGGGTGGGTGTAGAAAAAAAAAAGTGCATCAACGAATGAATGGAAATCCAAAATCTTTGTAAATGTTCATTAAAACTAGTAAAATAATTTTTTAAAAAAGAATATACTTCATGCTTAATGAATGATAATTTTCATCATCTGAAAATATATAGACAACAATCTTTTCAGTCATTTGCTATGCATCTGAGAGCTAGACAATGACTAGGATGACAGAAGAATTGATGTCTTTGAGCTGTGGTGCTGGAGAAGAGTGCTGTATATCCCAAGGACTGCCTAAACAACAGATATGTCTTGGAGAAGGTGCAATCAGCGTGCTCCTTGGAAGCTCTAGTACTTTGGAAGCTCTCACGCACTTTGTGCATGTTGCTAGGAGAGGTTATTCTTTGGATAAGGACATCATACTTGGAAAGGTGGAGAGTTGGTGAAGGAGAGGAAGACCCTAAACCAGGTGGTTTGATAACTGAATGCAGCTATGGGCTTGGGGGTGTTGGAAATTGTGAGGATGGCACAAAAGATTACAGGATTCAGATCAGTTGTTCATAGGGTTGCTATGAGTTGTACTTGACTCACCAGCACCTAACAGCAACAGCAATAGACAACAAAAAATAGAAATAGTTCTCATTTATTTTTATCAGCACATACAGATAATGGAAAGTGTGCAATTTATTTTCTTTTTAAGCTCAAAGGACAATTTTTCCTTTTAGTTAGGTCTTGTAATAGCAGTAAAGAATAGACAGAGAACAGAGATGCTTATGTGTGGCTTTAAAAAGATATAAGTACTGACATATTTGAGTGCTTAGCACAGATGGGTTTGGGGATTTTTTTTTAAACTCTTAACTACCACATTTGCCCCTAGAGTTTGAAACATTGTTGTAATCATTTGTTAGCTGCCTAAAGAAAAGACTGATCATTCAACATGATTATTTAATATGTATACTTAAAGCATCATTTTAATAAGAAGAAAAACCAAGTTTTAAAAAGAATATAAAATAAAAATTTAGAATTTAGCTCTGAAATATGAAGCTGGGGTAATGACTTGTCAAGTAGTAAATGGAAATATTTATTAAACATTTTCATGACAGAAAACTAACTTTTATGCAAAAAAAATCTTATTTTTATTCTAAAATGAAATAAGATGATTTATTTGGTAATATTCAAACTTATTCTTTTCCAAATAAGAAATATACTTATCTAATACTATGTTTAAGAAAGTAGTTGTCAAAGTCATGGGATTTGAAACCAATCAAATCTTGGCTGGAATCCTTAGCAAGAATCTTACTAGTTCACCTGTAGACTGCCAGTCTCAATTTCCTTATTTGTTTAATAGATAATTGTGTTTAGATCTTTAAGGAATCAAAGGAGAAAGGTTCAACATAATAATTTTCTAATACATTTTGACTCAAGCACTTAATTCTGAATTTTATCCCTGTCTTTCCAGAATGCAAATGTTTTATTCTATTTTCAAATCTTCTCTCTTTTTATCTTTGTCTTACAGGATTAACCAACAGCTTGACCTCAGGACTCTGGATTGGACTTAACAGTCTAAGTTTCAACAGTGGCTGGCAGTGGAGTGGCAGCAGCCCATTCCGATATTTGAACTGGCTACCAGGTAGAGCTAATACTTTCTGTGGTCAAACTAATGCAAGAATTCTGTTGGCTGTTCCGGAGACCTCTGTGATCTCACATACAGGGTTTAAGGAGGGGAATTGTGAGACTTCATTAAATACAGTCTACTTCGTTTGCTTTGAAATTTGTCTACTTTCTTTTGGAGACCCGAAACTATTACTCTGAACTAACATAGTATGAAGGAGTACTAAGTACTCTGGTGGCCTAGTGGTAAAAATCTGTGCTGTGATCCCCAAAACATGCAGTTATAATCCACCAGCTACTCCACAGGAAAAGGGAAATCTACTCCGTTGCCATCACTGCCTCTGAAAAGCTGCTGGTGGGTCAGCTATGGGTTGGTTCTGACTTGATGATACAAAACAACAAAAAGAAGAAGACTTACATAAAGCATTTAATCAGAGGAAATGAAAAGTCTACGATCACACATTCTTCATTTCATTCATCAGTGTTAATAGTTTTTTAAACTAATTTACTAAGTATAATTTCTAGACATTCCCCAGCTATAATCTTGACTCATGCAGGAAGAGTGAAATTAGCCATCAGTGATGTCTGATGTGGATGTGGGACAGGAAAGGCCTCGCTCCTGGTCTCATTTATTTGACAGTTCTGTCAGGGACAATGTGAACATGGTGGGTTTTTTTAATTTGGTCTTTATTTCTTTTACAAAAACTAAAAAGTTTTTGTAGAACCATGGAATGATTTTATGGCTGTGTTTTGGTGGTGTTTTTTTGTTTTGTTTTGTTTTGTATTTTTGTTTTTGTTTTTTTTTTGTATTTGGAATAGAAAAAGGTCCGTTTTCTGTATATTCAGGTGCATTTTTTTAAAAAAATCTAGTGATATATTCAGAATGAATGCTAAAATATAGAAACTATTCTTAAGAACCACATTGTGGTTTTAACTGGATTAGATTATCTATGAAATTCCACTACAGTATAGAATTTTTATGCATGATGCTGACATGATGGTCACTAGAATCTTGTAATAATAATTCCTGTTGTCCCCTGGAATATGGGAAGTAAACTTTGCTCAAAGAAACACATGATGTCCTTTCTGTGGATGAAGATTTATCTGGTTTGCCTACTGTGAGTCAATGCAGTAGCCACATTACGTTCGAGAATGCCAGCGGGCTTAATCAGATAAAAAGACCACAATAACCATCAATTAGGGGCCAAGAGTCTATTCTCTGTTGCTAAAGTATTACAAGCTGTTAGGAAAGTCAGTTAATTAATAGCTTGATTTGAGGATGATGATGATGATATTTGTATTATAAACATTTGTATTATAAGACTTAAGTGAGAAAACCTGGGGGTTAACTTATGTGAGTTACTTTCATTGCCATTGAGTTGGAACTCATACCAATGCTCCAGCAGAGCTTCAGAGGCTAAAAATCAGAAGGAAGGAAATTGTTTATCTTTCTTGAGTGGAGCAGCTGGTATATTTGAACCATGCATGCCTTTGGGTTGGCCGTGCAATTCTTTATCCAGAAGACCACAGGAGCTCCTCAATTCATATGAAGGCAAGGAATGAAATTGGAATGCTAAGTGATACAGCACTCTTTCATCAATATGCTGTATTGACGTAACCTGGGGTTGCTGTGATACTGAACCTTGTGCTGGTGGGTTGTAAAATGCCATAGCTGTCACCCATGGTGGACAGTGTTTGGTGGAGCTTCCAGTTTAAGACAGCTTTTGAAGCAGGAGTGGCATATACTTCCTAAACCACTTGCCTCTGGAAACTGTTTGAATTTTGATAAATGTTGATAGTTATAGAAAGGCTTCAGACCTTTTGTTCATAGTGTCTCTAGGAGTCTTTCTCAAGTTAAAGGCAATCAACAACAACAACAAGGAAAAAGAAAGATAACACCTGTCTTTAGTAAACCAAGTTCCTAAGAAGCAGATGTGATATCAAACCATCTTATAACACAGTACAGGAATTTCTACAAATTGAAATGAGAAACCTTGTGCAATGCTAGAATTGTTCAGATTTCAAGTTGCTGCTTACATATAACACATCAGTTGAGATTCATTCCTAACTGTGAAGCGATTTTATACAAATAATATTTACTATGAATTTTAAATTACAATAACAATAGTGAGCATTGAGCTCTGGTGACCTAGTAGAAAGAAGCTGTGCTGCCAACCCAAATGCATGAGGTTCGACTCTTCCAGCTGCTCCCTGGGGGAAAAACAAGCAATCTCCTCTCATGCAATTTACAACCTGTAAGAACCCACTGGAGGGTCGGCTATGAGTTGGTTCTGACTTAACAGCAAATAACAACAACAAAATAGTAAACATTACAAAAAAGGGCTACCATTTGGTTTTTTAAAATTGGTCATGCTTTTGTATTGTTAAGTGGATAAATGATGACACAATTTGCTCACTGAAGGACCTGAAGTATTTGCTGCAGATAGTCAAGGACTGTAATCTCCAATATGGACTGAAGCTCAACATCAGGAAAAAAAAGATTCTCACCACTAGACCTGTTAGCAACACCATGATACTGTGATCAAGATTGTTAACAACTTCAGCTTGCTTGGTTCCAGAGTCAAACTCTTGGCACCAGCAGCCATGAAAATAAAAGATGAATTTCATTAGGTAAATCTGCTGTCAGGGATCTGTTCAGAGTGTTGTAGATGTCAGTCTTGGGACTAAGGTACACCTGGTCCAGGCCACGGTCTTTGCAATTACGTGGTAGGCATCAGAGAGCTGGATAAGCTAAGGATGATAATAGAAGAATTGATTCCTTTGAGTTGTGGTGCTGGAGAAGAGTCTTGAACATACAATAACTTCCAACAGAACAAACAGGTTCATCCTAGAGAGAGTGAAACCAGGATGCTCTTTGGAGGCAAGGATTTTGAAGCTCTGTCTCACATACTTGGAGAAGAACATCATGCTTGGGAGAATGGAGGTACAGCACAATAGAGGAAGACCCTAGAGGAGAAGCATTGACCAGTAACTGGGGAAATGGTGGTATAGGTGTGTCACAGACATTGAGATTGGCTCAGGATAGGGCAGGGTTCAAAGCTATTGTGCATAAATTTGCTATGAGTCATAGGTACGTAATAACAACAACTAATGGAATTGCTGTTATTATCGTGTACTATAGAGTGGGAACTGACCTATCGCTGATCCTCCGGCAGGTTTTCAGAAGCAGTTAATCACATGGGAGGAAATTGCCTTCTTCCACAGAGCAGCTGGTAGAGCAGCTGTTGGCTTCGAACTACGTGCCTTTTGAATTGCAGCACAGCTTCTTGCCAAGAGCTATAAAATATATGGAACTTTGGTAGCTCAGTGGTAAAGAATGGTACATGGCACATGATTCAAATTCCCCATCTGCTCCACTGGAGATAGTCAATCTCATCCCATATAATTAAATGCCTCTGAAAACCTCCAGGAGGGTCAGTCAGTTATGAGTTGGTTCTGACTTGACAGCACTCAACAACAATAACTAAAATACAATACATTTATTTCAAAGTAACAATACTGTCCCAAATCTATAAATTAAATTATAACATTACCGTTTGGTTACACCACCAAAACTTGTTAACGGACATATTTTTTTTAAATCTTTTCACACCTTATTAACAATTTTCTTTATGTGTTACTCAATAACTTACAGAAATTGCCAATTAAAAACTATAGGACAGAAACCGTGAATTCCATCTTTCAGGACAGGATTGTGAAGTTCAGTCACAGGCCATAGACCTGTGAAAAGTTACTCTCTTGGTCTTCAGGTGTAAGTTAGAGGTAGTTTTCAGAGCTCTGGTTTTCAAATCACGTATCATCACACAAAAAGCCTCTGGTGGTTGAATGGTTCAGTCCTGGGTGTCTGATCATGAGCTAGGTGATTGGAATCCACCCAGAAACTCTGTGGAAGAAAGGTGACCTTTCTGGCAATCTGCCTTCATAAAGACTGCAGTCAAGGAAACCCTCTGGGACAGTTCTACCCCAAGAGATGGCGTCAATATGAGTCAGAATCCCCATGATAACGTTCAGCAGCCTCATTAGAGAACAAGAGAAATGGGGTAACAGTGTATGTCTCCCCTGCATGATCCCTATCTATTACATTAGCAAAACTGATTCTGATTCTCTAACTTCCAGTGAGAAATGGGACTAGAGGTTAGTAATGATAAATATTCTTCAGTAGGCTGACCTGAAAACATGATGGAGAAGGAAGTGTTCCTTGTGGGAGCATTTACCATCTTTTAAAATGGCATGTTGCTGCTCCCAATAGTTTCTTTCCTTTTGCTTTTATTTTGTTTTATCTAGGGGTGCTATGAGTCAGGACCTACTAACTAGACATCTAACAACAACAATGAATATGGCTAGTTTGTTATATCAGGTATTCTTTTTGTTAAGTGCCTCTTCCTGATTCATAGTATGACCTAGTATGAAAATTGTTTGAGTTTTAGTTCAAAGGCTAATTTTATTAATGGCTGTTGTTCATTAAAGTACTGTACAATCAAGCAACTTTGGGCATTGAAATGATCCAAAAAGAAGTTTGATTTATTGGTGTGTTGTTTTAAAGGTACATGCTCATCTTGCCCTTTGTCTGGAGGGGAGGGGAGGGAGGAAGGGGGGGAGAGAGAGAGAGAAAGAGAGAGAGACAGAGAGAGAGAGAGAGATCTGCAGCCAGCAACAGAATGAGAATTCAAGAAATCACACATATCAAGCCTGTGGGGACTTCACTTGTAACATTTCTAACAGTCTTATTTCATTTTTCCTTTTCCTCAAAGGCAGTCCCTCAGCTGAGCCTGGAAAGAGCTGTGTGTTGCTAAATCCTGGGAAAAATGCTAAATGGGAGAATCTGGAGTGTGCTCAGAAGCTAGGCTACATTTGTAAAAAGGGCAACACAACCTTGAATCCTTTTGTCATTCCCTCAGGTAAGTGGCCTCTCTGATATGAAGAGTGTGACATAATTTGATTTAGAGACCTGAAAGTACAGCTCACTCATGACTACATGAAGTGACTCCACTGGTTTTGTTGACAATTTGTAGAGTAAACATATGGAGGTTTCTAAGACACTTAAACACCAAAAGGTAAGGTTACTCTCATGGGTAAACAGCAAACATTTCCTGAGTGGGCTATGCTGAGCTGGCATGCTATCAAGCCTTTCATCTACATGACATAAATAAAGATTTCATCTCCTCTTTGGTAGGTGTTTTTCACATATTACAGATAAGGAAACACATTAAGAGACTATATAAAATTTGCACAAATGGAAAAAGTAGAATCTAAATGAGGAAATACATAACCCGAAGGGATGTTTATATTATGTATTGACAATCTATTGGAAGCTGTATGTGGCCCTCAATGTAATTTAGCAACTTACATTAAAATCTTTACAGAAACTTAATAAAATTCTCCAAAGAGTAGAGCTTGAATGCTATACTTAGATGAGACTCCAAGAAAAACAACAAATCCAGTCAGGTTTTGTGCTGTCCATTACAAATTTATAGAATTAATCTACTAAGTCAAGAATGTGTTCTTTCTTTAAACTGACTAGTAAGCAAACAAGGAAGCAAATTAGGTTTTGTTCACCATGGTTTCATTTTTAGAGCAATACCTAATCCATTTATTCCTCCTCTTCCCAGGAAATATGGTAGTGTATAATTTTTTACTTTTACAATATATTTAGAAAGATAATGAGATGAAATGATTAAAAAATAATATTTGCCTCTTACTCTTTAACTCTCCAGTTTCTTTCACAAGGGTATTCTTTTTTGGGGCGGGGAGGTGTGTCTTTACAAAGTTATCCAATGAGTATCTGCTTTATTCAAGCAGTAGTGTAAAAATTCATATTGAATTTTGTCACTTAATAACAATTTGAGTAATATTTCATAAAGCCCATAAATAATTTATGCATTCATTTAAAAATATTGAAATGTGATTTTTAAAGAAAGTTTACATAGCAAATTCTGTTCTTGTTTGACAACTTTAAGTCTTGTTTAACAACTTCTATACATATATTCTTATTATTAATTTTAATGCAAGTTCACAGAGACTTTGGATTTCTATTCATTCATTGTTGTACTTTTCTCTCTGCCCACTCCTCCCCTCCAATTTGCTCTTCTCTTTGAAAAGTAAAATTATTTCATTGTTATACAATCCCTCCCCCCAAGTCCACTCCACTATGCAGCCTTCATTCTGGACTCCTGTCGTGACAATAATACCTAATAATATATTCCTTTGAAACAGTTCTCTTCCTCATCTGTTTCAATGCAGTATACATTATCTATTGCATCTTTTTTAGTCTCCCCCAACCCCTATGTCAGTCCTCTCTTATAACAGTGGCCTTATGCAGTATTTGCCTTTTTGTAACTGAGATATTTTACTCAACATAATGTCCTTCAGGGTCACCCATTTTATATAATATTTCATGAGTTCCTTGTTTTTCAATGCAGCGTAGTATTCTGTTATGTGAATATACAAGAGCTTCTCTATCCATTCATTTATTGATGGGCACTTAGGTTGTTTCCAACTGTTTGCTATTGTGAACAAAGCCGTGAAAAACATGGATGTGCATATATCTGCTTGAGTGGCGGTTATGGTTTCTTTGGGGTATATTCCCAGTAGTGGAATCGCTAAATCAATTAGTATTTCTATTTGCAACTTTTTGAGAAAGCACCATACAGCCTTCCACAGCAGTTGCACCATTTTACATTCCCACTAACAGTGAATAAGGGTCCTCTGCAACCTTGCCAGCATTTAATTTTGCTATTCTTATTGGGGTGAGATGGTATCTCATATTTGTTTTGATTTGCATCTCTCTTAGAGCTAGAGATTTTGAACGTTTCTTCATGTGCTTGTTGGCCATCTGAATGTGTTCTTTGGTGAAGAGTCCATTCATATCCTGTGCCCATTTTTCAATTGGGTTATTTACCTTTATCTTGTTGTGGTGCTCGAATATTTTATAAATTCTAGATATAAATTCTGACATGTCATTTCCAAGTATTTTTTCCCAGTTTGTGGCTTCCCTTTTTACCCTGTTGGAAAAGTTTTTGGACGTGCATAGGGATTTTATTCTTAGAAGGTCCCATTCATCTATTTTATCCCCTCCTGGTTGTAGATTTTCCAGGAGGCTGGGAAGACTGTTTATGTTGTGGATTAAGACTTCTAGAGTTGTTCCAAGCTTTTCTTTAATGAAGTTTATAGTCCTTGGTTTAGACTAAGGTCCATGATCTACTTTGAGTTGGTTTTTGTGTATGGAGTGAGGTGTGCATCTTGTTTGAGTTTTCTGCGGATAGTTTTACAATTTTGCCAACACCATTTGTTAAAAAGCCTGTTGTTTCCCCACTTAACTGATTTATCTCCTTGTTAAAAATCAGTTGACATAGGTAGATGGGCTGATTTCTGGATTCTCAATTCTATTTCATTGGCCTTTTTATCTGTCATTGTACCAGTGCCATGCTGTCTTGACCACCATGGCAGTTTAGTAGGATTTGAAACTAGGAAGTGAGATTTCTCCTACCTTGTTTCTCTTTTTAAGGAGTGCTTTGCTTATTTGAGGATTCTTTTCATTCCAAATGATATTGGAGATTGCCTTTTCCACCTCATTGGAGAATGGAATTGTTATTTGTATTGGGATTACTTTGAATGTATAAATTGCCTTTGTTAGTATTGTCATTTTTACAATATTGAGTCTTTCTATCCATGAGCAGTGGGTATTCTTCCACTTCTCCAGGTCTCTTTTTGTTTCTTTTTGTAGTGTTTTGTAATTTTCTTTGAATAGATCCTTTGTGCTTCTGGTTAGATTAACTCCCAAGTATTTAATCTTGGGATTAGCTATTTGATGGGTTTTGTTTGTCTGAGCTCCAGTTCTGTATTCTCTTTGTCGCTGTAGAGAAATCCAACTGACTTTTGTATGTTGATCTTGTATCCTGCCACTTTGCTTAATTTTCAACTGTGTCAAGTAGTTTTCCTACTGAATCTTTAGGGTTTTCTAAGTATACTAATCATATCATCTGTATATAGGGATAATTTTACCTCCTTTTGCCAATTTGGATACCTCTTATTTCCTTTTCTTGTCTTATTGTTATCGCTAAGACTTCCAACACAATATCAAATAGGAGAGGTGATAGTGGGCATCCTTACCTAGTTCCTGTTCTCAAGGGGAATGCCTTTAATCTCTCTCCTTTGAGAACAATCTTGGCTCTGGGATTTGCATATATACTTTTTGAAGTATATATTCTATGTTGAAGAAATTCCCCTCTAATCCTATTTTGTTGAGTGTTTTAATCAGAAAAGGGTGTTGGATTTTGTCAAAGACCTTTTCTGCATCAATTCATAGGATCATGTGGTTCTTGTTCTTTGCTTTCTAATGTGATGAACCACATTGATTTTTTTCTTTTTCTTATGCTGAAACATCCTTGCATACCTGTTATGAATCCCATTTGGTCATGGTGATTTTTTTTTAATGTATCATTGGATTCTATTGGCTTAGATTTTATTCAGGATTTGCATCAATGTTCATGAGAGATGTTGGCCTATAGTTTTCTATTTTGGTGGTGTCTTTACCTGGCTTTTGTGTCAAAGATGTTTGCTTCATAGAATGAATCTGGGAGAATACCATCTTTTCCTATTTCCTGAAAGAGCTTATGTAGAATTGGTGACAGATCTTCTCTGAATGTTTCATAAAATCCACTTATAAAACCATCTGGTGCAGGACTTTTTTTTGGCTGGAAGTTGTTTTATTACCTTTTCAATTTCTATTTTATAATGGGTCTGTTCAAGTATTCCATTTTGGTTGGTGTCAGTTTGTGTAGGTTGTGAATTTCTAAGTATTTGCTCATTTCCTCTAGGTTTTTTCATATTTGTTTGTGTATCCTTGGGAGAAATTGGGTTATTTGTTGGGTTGTTAACCAAAATGTTAGTGTTTTGAATCTACCAGCTACCCTAAAGGAGACCATTGAGGCAGTTTGCTCCTGTTAAGATTTACAGCCTCTGAAACCAGGTGGAGAGCCACCACATATTGGGATGGACTCCATTGTTTTTGTGTTTTAGATGTACATTCTCGACCCCAATAATATTGATCACACTTTGTGACGAGTCAACTTTCTCATTAGTTCTGCTCTGGTTGTCCTGTTTCCTGTAGTCTAACTTCCTTGTCCCCTTGTCTTTCCATCTTTGTTTTGAGTAATTGCTGTTAGGTTTGTTTCATTTAGATGATTGCTAAAAGGAGCACAGTATTCTTCAGTATTTATTCCATGAGCTATTCTTTCTTTTGACTGATAAGTGACTTCCAGGAAGAAATTGATTGCTGTGGCTGCACAAGTCCTTTATCACTAGCTCCCCTTCCCCTACCCCAGAGCTCCTTCTCTCACCTGTACAAGGACAATATGAATAGATTTCCTCCCTGTGTAATAATTCTGTTCATATTCACAAACACTCAACAAACTGCTCTTATTTCTTTACTAAATCTCCTCACTTTGTTTTGTTGGCTAACATTCACTTGATTTTTTTTTTTTTGTAAATACCTCTACAACATATGGTGATGAAAAAGGAAGGTCAAGCTGCTCTGAAGTTATTGGCAAAAAAACAAGGCCCTAGAAATTATGGAATACCAATGGACATGTCTCAACATATAGATACAGACCTGGATATGCTCACCAGGCTATACTAAGAGATCTGGAGAACGACCACCTGGCCAACTGACTGGAAGAGATCCTTATTTATACCTATTAAAAAAAAAAGGTGATCCGACTGATTGTGGAAACTATAGAATGATATCACTAATATCATATACAAGCTGGATCCTGGTGAAGATTATCCAAAAACAACTGGAACAGAGAACTTCCAGATGTGCAGTCTGGGTTTAGAAGAGGCTGTGGCACTGGGGACATTATAGCCAATGCAAGATGGATCTTGGCTGAAAGCAGAGAGTATCAAAGGAATGTCTATATGTTTTTCATTGACTACACAAAGTTATTTGACTTTGTGGATAACAATAAATTGTGGCTAACCTTGAGAAGGATGGGAATCCCAGAACATTTGATTGAGCTCATGAGAAACCTGTACTTGGGCCAGGAGACAATGTTCAGAGCAAAGCAAAGAAATACTTCATGGTTCAAAATCAGGAAATTTGTACATCAGGAATGCATCCTATCTCCATACGTTTTCAATCTATATGTGGAACAGATCATTCAGCAGGTTGGGCTTTATGAAGAGGAATGTGCCATCAGGATTGGAGGAAGATTCATCAACAACCTGCATTATGCAGATGATACAACTTGCTGAAACTGAGAAGGACCTGAGGCATTTGCTGAAGAAGGTCAAAGACTGCAGTCTTAAATATGTATTGAAGCTCAACATCGAGAAAACAAAGCTTGTCACCAGTAGGTCAATTGGCAGCATCATGATAGATGGAGAAGAGATTGAGATTGTTAACAATTTCAGCTTTCTTGGTCCCAGAATTAATACTCTTGGAACCATCAGTCAAGAAATCAGAAGACAAAGTCCACTAGCAAAGTCTGCTGTCAGAGACCTCTCCAGAGTGCTGAAGAGCAACAATGTCAGTCTAGAGACTAAGGTGCACCTGAGCCATAGTCTTTGCAATTACTTGTTGTACATCAGAGAATTGGACAATGCTAAGAATGATAGAAAAAGAATCAGTGCCTTTGAGTTGTGGTGCTGGAGACAAGTATTGAACCTACCATGTACAGCCAAGGGAACAAACAAGTCTGTCCTAAAGGGTGAAACTAAGTTTCTCCTTTGAGGCATGGATTTTGAAGCTCTGTCTCACATATTTTGGGCATGTTGCCAGAGGAGCCAGTCTTTGAGACCGACTTAAGATAGAATAGGGCTCAGAGAGATTGTGCAGAGGATTGCTCTAACTTGCAAGGGACTTAATGACACGTAATGACAAACAATAACAACAGCATACACTTCCTGGGTTAAATATTTTATCTTATCTATGAGCTCAAATATATCAGAGCTTGAAAAGCATGTCAGGAATCAGATTATTCAATACACATGATTAATGGTGCCCTCAAGCAGGAGTTCAGCCCTGTATCCTGCTGGTCCTGGCCATACTACCCTTTTTGGCTATAAATTCTCAGTGCCTAGAGCTGCTGGTGTGGTTCCTTAGCCACAAACCACACATGGTCACTAAGCACTGGATTTCCAAGACAATTTTTTTTTTTAAAAGGTAAGATGTCTCATTAGTTGTATTGATTAGAGTTTGTATTGATAGGGTTCACAAGTGTATTATTAAATTCTTTCTTTTTTTAAAAAAAATTGTATTTTACCGGTTTCCTTTTCTTTAATAAGCCTTGTGTTGTTAGAAATGATCCATTGCTGACCCTCCAGGGAATTTTCAGAGGCAGCAAACTGCATGAGATGAGATTACCCTCTTGTCTCTTGTGAAACAACTAATGGATTCGAACCGTGTACCTTTGATACAGGAGCTCAACTCCTTATCCTCATGTTTGTGTTTTAGATGGTCTGTTTACCAGATAGAGTTGAGTTTGAGGCACAAACTATCTTCTATGACTGCCCCAGAGAACCTCTCTTCATTCCATTTGGCGTTATTGTTTTCATATTTTAAAATATTCTTTTTCGAGTCCATTTGTTTGTATCTCAGAGTGTTTCATTTTACTAGGCATTTTAGGGATGTCTTGTGGCTTAGTGGTAAGAACCTGTGCTGCAGTCCCGAGGGCACATAGTTTCAAATCCACCAGGCACAACCTGGGAAGATCGACACTCTCCTCCTAAACGATTAACTGTCTCTGAAAACCTGCTGGAGAATCAGCTATGGGCAGTTCACAACATTTATCATTTTACTAAGCCGCAAAATTAAAATACACCACCAGAGGGTGGCAGAGCTATGACCAAAACTTTATTTTTGTGACCATAAGGGTGTTTTGTTTTTGATTTTGTTTTTTTCTTTTTAGAAATAATATTTTTTTCCTATTATAATAATGCAGTGGTTGGTCATCTTGACTATTTACTTGGATAACTACTGTACACAGATTCTGGGCTGAAGATGAGATTAAGTAATGACATTTTTTTACAGCATTTATAATTTCATTAAGTTTATAGTAAGGTTGAAGTAAGTTGGATACATCCAGTCTATCTTTTCTGTAGATATAAAGATCAAATAATGAAAAAGCAAAAGTGCCTTTGCATGTTTAGAACTATGAACTCAACTTACCCATTGCCATTGAGACAGAACTGACTCATACCTGATGCTCAAATGGGTTTTTGGAGCCTGTAAATTGCACCGGAGAAGATTGCCCATCTTTTCTCCTCAGAAAGCCTGGTGGATTCGAACTGCCAGAGGGATGCTCTTTCGGTTAGCAGAACAACTCCCTACAGCTTACACCATCAGACGTCCCTAGAACTATGAAATGGTGCCACATATATAGAATGATAAGAAATAATTATTATAGTTAAAAAAGCCAAACCCCTTCCTTGTTAAATGGTTTCAAACTTTCTCACACCCCCCCCTTCCTTCCCCCAAGAAACTGATGTGCCTACTAGCTGTCCTGCTCAGTGGTGGCCATACAGAGGCCACTGTTACAAGATTCATAGGGAGCAGAAGAAAATCCAAAGAGATGCTTTGACTGCATGCAGAAAGGAAGGCGGAGATCTGGCAAGCATCCACAGCATTGAGGAATTCGACTTCATTTTCTCCCAGTTGGGCTACGGTAAGAAATCCTAATCAGTAATACGCCTTATTCCAGCGCTCTCCTCTCTCAACTCATCTCAAGAGAATGTAACAATAAATGCTAAATCGAGTGGCTTAAAACATTTAATAATAATAAATATTTTAAGCCCCCACTTCTTTGCCATCAAGTTGGCATTGACTCATATCTTTTACCAGGAGACTGCTTATCTTTTTCCTTGAAGTTTGCTGCTAGATTGGAACAACCAGAGAGGCACTACGTTTGGTTAACTGTGCATCTCTCTATAGACTAAATCACCACAGTGCCTAAAACGTGAGAACTATATAATCATTTGTTGTTGTTGTTGTTGTTATGTGCTGTCGAGCCACTTGCGACTCATAGTGCCCTATGTACAACAGCCCTAAACT